AGGAGTCTTTTAATAACCCAAGTCTGACTCAATATCCAAACCCAAGTCTCAGACTTGGGTACCCAATACCCAAACCCAAGTCTCAGACTTGGGTACCCAATACCCAAACCCAAGTCTCAGACTTGGGCACCCAATACCCAAACCCAAGTCCAGACTTGGATTTGGGTTTGTAACATACCTAAGTATAAGGAATTAGAAATAGGTCGATATAAGGGGGTTAGACATACATGTATAAGAGGTTAGATATAGATATAAAGTGGTAGAAATAGATAGGTATATACGAGTATAAATAGGTAGATATAAGGGATCAGGATCAGGCATCGATATAAGGGATTATAAATAGATAGATAAACGGGTTTCCTGTAGATGTAGAAATTGTAATGAATTTCATTCGATTTTTAATTGATTATTACATAATCGATGACGAATCAATTAAAAGCGTATGATTTTAATCGATTATAATCTGATTTTTCCCGTCCTTTGTTTACATGAGGAAACGCGTCGGCGAAATTAAACTCGGCATTTATCTTTATTTATAAGCGCATTATTTTAAAATTATTCAATTTCGACAAAAGATTGATTGCTGAAAAGCAAGAGTTAAGACCAGCAGATTGAACTTACCTTTCTCTGACAAGAGATAGGTCAGCTTGTTTTTCAATTGCCTCGCTCACCCTCACCTGCTCACCGTCAAGCATTTAATAAGATCTACTTAGCGGTATCCAAACGCGTTCTTCTAGCTTTCTGTCTAATATTAATATCTTTATGTATACTGACCAACTCCCTCTCGTGGTTTTCTAACAGTAACACTTATTCTTTTCCTTCTCTTCGGTGAATGTTGGATAAATGCATGAAAATCTGTTGGTTATTAAGAGCTTTTCACTGATATGCATCCGACCTGAACTGCAGAGGTTGGGCTAGTTATTCTGAAATTCTTTCATCTTTAACGTTTCTCTCTCCTGAACGCACACATTTGAACAGACGCATGAGTACATGGTCATTAGTCCTTTCAATGAGAGTTTCAACGATATGAAGTTTTATAAGAAACAGACTAAAAAATGAAGCCAATATTGAAGACTGCACTTCTTTTGGCAAGAAAAGGACACAGCTCCGTTTATCTCTCACACTATCAGCGTAGTTTACGGCATCCGTGATGAGTCGTTATGGAAGAAAAACAATGGTTATTTGCAGGATCATTGTCTCAAGTTTTATAATGAATCTCAGTCATACGTGTGATTTTGATTCATCTGACAGCCTTCCAGACAGGTGCTCTGTTTGCAATGCGAACAGAAACCTGAACAGGGTACTGACCAGGCTTGATAACATCTGCTGCATTTAGCCGTACATCCACGCTCTAATTATGGCTTTTGACAGCATCCAAATTTGAACCGACAGCCTGGATTTAAAATATCTCTGCTTTTACAGCATGACCATTTATCATTGAGACACAGGTACGTTTGCCAATTTCTCGAGTGATAATGCTCTAAAGGTCTGATATGTTTGTAAATTACTTGACTGACATGTTTTTTGGCGTTGACATGGAATCACATGGACCATGATCAAAATCTCTATATAGATCTTCACCACATTTCTTGCAACCAGCTTGTCTCCATCCAAAATATTTTGTGTATCTATGTCGAATTAGTCGTTTTTTAATATCAGCTAAATTCGCAATAAGCACATTTACTTTTTCCCCAGCCCTGAACTCATATTTAGCGTATACTGGAATTTTCTCTCTTACTACACAATCTAATTTTCGGACCTCATCAGCCCATTTAAACAACGTAGTACTGTAAGCTGGTTGAGGTATATTCATATGGGCTCGATACAGAATACTAACATTATCCAGATCAGCGTTATCAATCAGTCGCCTGAATGATTGTAAACAGTCAGATATGTCACCAGTCAAGCGTGAATGTTCTACGGGATCCGAAAGATATAAAATTATGGTTGACAAACGATGACACCCGTGAAATAAGAATGTCTGAAGCTCTTCGACAGCTTCATTTTGCCACTTTTGGTGTTTGTCATTCAATCCACGGGTGTCAACAATCGGCCAATTACCAACATAACCAATAAGTGGTTCTTCGGTGCCAGGGTCAGCTCCTTTGGATATGTATTGATCTGTGTCACAGAGAGCATTTAGAAGTGTTCTTTTTCCCATACCTGTTGTGCCAATCAACAAATTTAACGGCTCGTGCTCGAGCTCTTTATTATAACGTATTGAACCGACGAAACTACTATAACGGCAAAATCCGGTAGTTTCTCCTAATTCATTGTCTTCGTTCGAACTTGAATCGTCTTCCATGCTTTTGAAAAGAGCCAGCTACATGGAACTGGAATCAAGAAGGGAATGGTACCGACGGATAATAGCAGCCTTGCTTTCGTAGAAATCTTTTTATTCGATATCGAAAAATCGTAAACTCCAACAAATTCTGGGTAGCGTTTTTGACCTAATGCCAACCAGCTTCTCAAAACAGAGCTGTTTGATCAGTTGAGCTCTTTTGAGAGGAACTATTTCAAAAGCTCAGGAAAAAGAACTGTTCAACCAGTTCAACTCTTTTGGAAGAAGCTGTTCAAAACGATCAGCTCCTATCAAAAGAGCGTTCGAACAGCTCTTTCGCTCAGCTGAGCTTATGAGTCTGAGCTGGGTGCACCACTAATACTTATCGAATTGTCACAAAAAAGTATACATCAGCATCGGAAACGACACAGAGAGAAATATTAGCGTAGTGTTCCCAAATGGCAACATCCGACCGGAAGAAAGTAATCAAGGTTGAAATTTTCTGGGGAACTGAACAAAGAGTGTTAAATACATAAACTTTTTGCAAGATTTTCTCCGATTTTCGCTAGAACAACCGCGACTACTGCTCAGAACCCACGTTTGTGAGCGGACGTAGTATGAACTTCTCATAAATTTCGCACAAAGTCAGACATACTTTCGATTTTTGGTGCCGACTGGGCCCTTGCTGATGGGAAAATTGACTCTCAATAATAGACAGCCGTATTGATTGTTGATTTTCTCAAGGATGCGACTGATTCTGATGAAGGTCTGATCGGATTTTCAGAGTTACGAACACATATTAGCTGAATGGGAAGGAAAGAAGTAATCGACCTCGTCTCTTATTCAATCTGCGAATCCGAACTAATTTAACTGGAGTTATCACTATGAAAATGAATGATGCTCGTCGTCAAAATAGACCATCACTTGAAAAATAGAACTTATTTGAAAACAGAAACATTATTTAGATAAGAACACGCTACACTTCACGAACAGGTAAAGATAAGCACTAACGAGGGAATCCCACGAAGTGATTAAACGCTATTTGATCGGAATCCAGTGGGTTATAGGTTATCGATCATGCTGATTACGAATACGACCATGCGGCTTCCGCATAGCCCTTCGAAGACCTG